CTAGCATCTCACATGGCCCTCAGTCTTTTGGGGCATTTGAAACCCGCTCTTGATTACATGTCTTCCTTTGGGAATTCAGGAAGGTAGATAGCGTCATCCTTCCCATATTCTTGAAAATACGGCTGGATGAGCATAAAAATCCCAGATATACACGTTTGCATGTATATGTAGAAAGTGGAGGGGAGTTAAAAGGTGGTCATTCGCTGCCTCTCTTTCACAGGTATGTTTGTGTGGGGGAAGGGGAGAGGGCAAAAGGACGTTTCCCATTTTTTAGATGAGGCCCATATTCACAGCTTTGGTCTGGGGTTCCCACTCTGTGTAACTGTCAGACATGACATGTGGATTCTCTTCCATTCCCACAAATGGTGTGCACAATTTGGATCAGGTCACAGTACATGTGGGGACGGGGCCATTTTGATGTAGTGGTTGAGAGTGCAGAGTTTAATCTGGAAGAACTGGGTTTGATTCCCCACTCCTCCACATGCAGCTGCTGGTGTGACCTTGGGTCAGTCGTTAGTTCATTCAGAGCTGTTCTCTCAAGGGCAGTTCTCAAAAGAGGTCTCTCAGCCTCACCTACCTCACAGGGTGTATGTTGTGGGGACGGGAAGGGAAAGGGATTGTAAACTGCTCTAAGATTCCTTCAGGTAGTGAAGGGCGGGGTATAAATCCAATCTCTTCTCTCTTCTTCTTTCATACCATGAAATGGCACATTAAAGAATACCATGTGTATCCCAAGGAATGCGTAGGTTTCCGCAACCAGGCCATTTCAGGTTGGGGAAAACAGCAGCTGGGGTGTGTGTGTGTTTCATACTATTCCGTGTGAGTCATGGTTCCAGTCCAAACCAAGCCCCGCATGCACAGCAATTGAGGATAACCCACACGTCACCTCTGACTGTCACACAGGTAAGGATCCCTGATCCAGCCTGTGTATTCCATAATGTGTGAATGCTCATTCCATCAACCACATGGTGGAAAGTGCTGCCAAGTCTAAGCCAACTTGGTCTCCCATCCAAGTACTAACCTGCTTAGTTTCTGAGATATGACAACACTGGGGTAGCCCAGCCTGGGTCATCAAGGACAGGGCGAACCAGGTCAGGTGTAGTCCAACACCTTTTATTAAGTCCAATAAAACTGTGAGCAAATTTTTGAGTCCCTCGGAACTCTTCTTAATGCTCGATTACAATAAAAAGGGAGCGAAGATCTTCCTCGCCTGGAAAATTTGAAAGCTTGGTCTCTGTTTTGGCACGGTTTTGTTGGTTGTAAGAACAGGGTCTAATAAACGTTAATATTTTTGCTGCTTCTGGGAACCCCACCCACCACCCCCACTGTGAACTAGCAAAGCTATTAAAATCAACGCCAGCCTGTGGTTTACAGTGGATATGCCGCAAAAGGAATGGGAAGAGGAACTGTCTTGCAGAAACTATGGACTGGGGTCTTGCTAGAATCAGAGAAATGTGAAGGGAACACACAGAGATGGGGGCTGTGGGAAGAAAATGAAGGGGATTTCCCACACAGAAATTCCAGAGAGGTAGCCAAGTGTTCATCTGCTGCACTGGGGGGGGGATGAGATAGGGATGCCAACTCTGGGTTGGGAAGGATCTGGAGATCTTGAAGTGGAGCCTGCGGAGGGTTGGGTTTGGGGCAGGGCAAGCCCTCAGTGGGGTATAATGCCACAGAGCAGCTATTTTCTCCAGGGGAACTGATTCCTGTCACCAGAAGATCAGTTCTAATTCCAGGAGATCTCCAAGCCTTATGTGGACGTTGGCAACCCTCCTGTGAGGCAAAGTGCCCCTGCTTCCCCTTCAAGGGTTAATGTGAAAGGTAACTGGCTTGTTCCATCCTGCAGGGGTTACTAATCGGCCTAGCAGCCCTTATCATCTTCAAGGCCAGAGCTGGAAGTGTGGGAATTAGCTCTCCTAAGGAGACCCGGCGCCTCACGGAGGGACAAGGGGGGGGGGGGAAATCAGGAGTGATGAGGTAATTTTCTAGATGGTTCCAGCAAGAATGTATCCTGATTGGGTGTCATCATCACCTGATGCTGCTTGGCCAAAAACTATAATTGAGCTAAGATCCTGGAGAAAGGTGGACAACTTTGATTTCTGATGGACTATGATAGGCTTATATTGCAATAGTTAGCATTATAGAGAATGCATGAGCATTCTCAAAGAGGCCTTTGACTCTTGGACTTCAGGTTTGTGCCATCTAATGCAGATCTTGGAAATGCATTCGATAGTTAATCTAGTTGTCTTATTTTCTGCTGTATCATTTTAGAGCATTGTGTTGCCTGTAGAATAAATCTTTTGTTTGACAGAAATTAAACTTCATATAATTTAAAAAGAAAAGAAAAGAAAAGGTCTGGTTGTTTGCCCTGAGGACCCACGGGGTTCAGCTTTGACGTTCTTGAAATCTACAAATTACAAGAACCATCTTGTAATCTGTTTTAATAGCTGTTGTTTATTTCATGGTTGATGTTCTGAATTGGTCCTATTCGGGAGACCCTAGTCTGTTGATGGGCAGACTAGACCGCTGTGGACTGAAAGATGAGGAGAGCCGGGACGATAAGGACAGAAGAATAAGACCTTGTGCTAAGAGTCCCAACTCATGTTGTCTTCTCGCCTGGATAGAGTCAAAGCTTCTGCCATTGGGTTGCCAATGTCAGGTTGGGAAATTCCTGGATATTTGGGGGGTGGCAACCCAGGGTGGGCAGGATTGGGGGATATGATGTTCCTTGGCAGGGTATACCATAGGACTGCCAACCTCCACGTGGCACCTGAGATCTCCCGTTATCACAGTTGATCGCCAGACAACCAAGATCAGTTCTCCTGGAAAAAATGGCGGCTTGGGAGGGTGGACTCTATGGCATTATACCCTGCTGAGGTCCTTCCCCTCCCCAAACCCTTCGCAGGCTCCACCCTCCAAAATCTCCAGGTATTTCCCAACCTGGATCTGGCAATCCTCGTATACAACCATAGAGTCCATCCACCAAAGCAGCCTGGAGATCAGTGGTAATTCCAGGATATCTCCAGGCCCCATGTGGAAATTGGAAACCCTACCTGCCACCAGTGTTCCCTCTAAGCTGAGTTAGTGTGAGCTAGCTCACAGTTTTTTAGCCTCCGGCTCACAGATTTTTGTCTTGGCTCAGGAAGGAGGGCTCCAGAACACACTAATTTATGCAGTAGCCAAATCACCTGCTCACAACTTTAATGCCAGTAGCTCACAAAGTAGAATTTTTGCTCACAGGACTCTACAGCTTAGAGGGAACATTGCCTGCCACCAGCTGTTGACCCCAGCAATTGGTTTTCAGATGTTTGCTGCATCTCCAGTAGCCATGGCCTATAGACCATTCTAGTGCAGCTCAATGCAGGACCTCTAAAGGACCCCTCCACTGGCTGTTCAGTCTCTGCTTGAAGACTTCTAGCAAGGGGACAACCCAGGAAACTGGTTCTGTTGTGGCAGCACTCTTGCCATTAGGAAATTTTCCCTATAGTTAAACCAAAATCTATCCTCCTGTGATTTAATATCACAAACACTGCAATCCTTGACAGAGTTTCTCCAGTCCAAGCCCACTGATTTTAATAGGCTTAGTCTGAGATGACTTTGTCCTGTGCTCTGAAGAAGCAGAGAACTACACATACACACATATGCATGCACACATAAGAACGTAAGAGAACATAAGAGAAGCCAATGTTGGATCAGGCCAATGGCCCATCCAGTCCAACACTCTGTCACACAGTGGCCAAATACCAGGTGCCATCAGGGGGTCCAGCAGTGGGGCCAGGAGGACACTAGAAGCCCTCCCCCCCAAGCACCAAGAACACAGAGCATCCCTTGCCCCAGCCTGACAGTTCCTATCTATACCCTGTGGCTAATAGCCACTGATGGACCTCTGCTCCATAGGTTTATCCAATTCCCTCTTGAAGCTGTCCATGCTTGTAGCCGCCACACCTCCTATGGCAGTGAATTCCATGTGTTAATCACTCTTTGGGTGAAGAAGTACTGCCTTTTATCCGTTCTAATCCAACTGCTCAGCAATTTCATTGAGTGGCCAGCCCACACACTTATAATGAAACGAAAGATGTACAATCTGTGACACTGAGAATGTATTTTATACCCACAGTAACTTGAAACTTTAAGCATATGATGAAAGGGGCTCTGGTGAAGGAACGTTTCTGCAGCACTAATAAAACAATTTCACACATACTGCAGAACGCACTTTCAGTGCACTTTAGGGATTGTTTGCAAGCGGATCTTGTCTTTCACCAGTAAAATCTAAAATCCGAGTTGCAAAGTGCGTTGAAAGTGCATTCTTCACTGTGTGTGAAAGCATCAGTAAAACAGCAGTCGAAGTGGAGACTAGCACCGTTTCATTCTAGAATAAGTTTTCACGGACCTCTCTAGTCCATAAAAAATTATGCTGGAATAAATTTTTTGTCTGTTGCTTTATACTACAGAGATTTCTCTTTATTTCTGCCGGCGCAGCTGCCTCTCTGGAATTACTCGCTGCCACAATAAAACTATTAGTCTTTAAAGTGCCCCCAAACTCCAGTTTATCATTCCCCTCAGAGAAGAGCGAGCGAATTCTACCAAGCCGGGAAAGGGGAGTACTTGGGCGGAGCCAAGGGCGTGAAGCGCTCAGGGGGCGGGGCTTCGGGGGGACGAAGCGGATGGCTCGAGCGGCGCCTTTACTACCGGTTGTTTTGTTAGTGGGCGGGATCTAGACGAGTCCATTGTGCAGATTAATAAGGGGAGCACGGTATTCCGCTACGCAGACTGCCCAGTTTAGTCCTCAAGCGAGACAGTGAAACCGGAAAGTGTATCTTTCACGGGACTCCCGGTTTTCTGCTATTTAGTAGGCGTCTCCAAGAGCATGGAGGAAAATCCCGCTTCTAATGATGTCTCCATACCCCCCCCCTCTCATTGACCTGGAAGAGATGGTCCGTTCCGCAGCGCGCGCCCTGTTCCCGCGATTAGGCTGCTGGTGGGAGGGGGCTGGGAGGTGGGAGACCCCGGGGCCTTGGAGGGGAGTCCAACCCCTGGGTGGAAATCATCATCATCATCGTAATCATAAACCCGGTACAGCAGGAGCTGCGGCGGTTAGTCGGGCGAGACCATGGCGAGCGAAGAGGAGGGGGAGCTGAAGGTTCCCGAGGAGATGTTCAAAGATGTCAAGTTCTACGCGGTGGGAGACATAGACCCCCAGGTAATCTTCCTTGGCCGCCCTAACCCCCCTCCTTCCCCGAGCTCGAGGCACCGCCCGCTCTTC